ACACATCTACATCACGAATAAAGAGAAAAGATAAATTGGAAGTTGTATACATACCGAGAAGTTTATCGCCATTAAACAAATTATTCAGATTAATGAGGAGTTTGTTTATATAGATACCGTATTTCATCTTGTCGAAGTGCAAGTAAGTATCATTATCCTTGTGGATCCTTTTAGCCTTCATAACTACATTACCTCTGTAATCGCCTACAAAAATACATGACAGGTTAGATTAATGTAGATACTTTTGCGGATTCTCCACCGTTCATCTAGCGTAATGATTTTTTCTCATCTCAATATCTTAACAAGACGAACGACGGAGATTTACTGATAAGAATGACACGGCTTACGGAAAGTTCCGTTAAGATTCCCGGCTCCTTTCAGCTGAAACAACAGTATTTTCGCGTCTATCGAATATTTCCCTTGAAACTCGAGCTTCGAGAAAGTGAGGTTGTATGTGAAGAGCAATTTATTTATATCGACTTTGAGATTATCGATTTTAAACGTGGACGCCCCGTACACCTATTCACCAAATGTTTCATTTGAAAGTACTTTATATTGTTCAATAAATAAATTCCCAGATAGCACAGTGTCTAAAATCGGGACATAAGACGTCGTAAAAATATTTTTAAGATGTCTTTAAAACGTTCTATGTCTCGATTTTAGACATTATATTGTTTGAATTATCTCATGATATATGAGGCAATCGTGTGTATATATATATATATATTCGCTGTCCAGCGAATTTTGATTAGTTAATGGTATTCTATATTTTTTTACTATGTAATATCAGTTTTCTAAAATAACCTTTTGGACCCAATTAATTAGTCGATAGCTGTTAAGTATTTTTATGTGACTGCAGCTTTTCATTTTGTTATTAATCTTCATATAATTATAATTATTTCATTATTAAATTAAATATTTTCCGATCAATCCATTGTTCAATACTTCTATACGCTGAACGCAGCGAATGTTTTTCGCTCGAAGAGTACGGTAATAGAAAAGAACGGGCTGGTTACATTTCTCCATTTCTCTCGTCCCGTTTTCTTCTAGAGTATAGTTCCGGTATAGCATAAAGGTCACTGGGCTACATTAAAAAATCTCAGCATCTCATCTCAGTTTTTCAAATAACGACTATCGATATGGGTCTTAATATACCAACCTCTATATTCGTGAGATTCATGTCGAAACTCGCGCTATTTGGACCTCTCAACAAGCGCAAGTTTTCCAAAAAGAGCGGTTCGATCGGTGGAACATCCAATTCCGGAATTCCTTTGGCTAGATTATCTCGTAGTTGTTCTATCGAATTAAAGATGCACTTGTTTAAGTCCGGATCATTTTGACTGCATATTTTTATGTACGATGCTGCAAAAAACGGAGAAACGATAAATAAAATTACGTTTATATGTATTTATTTCACTGTCTAAATAATAAATATTAATTTGAAAAATTAAATTAATGTAAACATATATGTATATACACAATTACTATATATATCCTCCTATTTATCGATCATAATATCTTTTATAATTATCTATCATATTATTTCATCACACTCATACAGAGTGAATCAGACTGGTCGAAGCATCTTTTTATTTTATGAGATAGATTACCGACTGCATATTCAATCGATTTAGCAGCGTATAGGTGATTATTATGTAGATATGCAATGCGAACTTCTGACCTAAGCGCTGACACGTGGGAAACTAGAATTACGATGAATTGCATAACTAAAGCAATATTTGCTAATATATCGCACAGGTGCCAGCAGTTCGTACGATATATCTATGTAATCGCCATCTATACATTGCTAAGTCGATTAGACGTGCAGTCGGTAATTTGATTCATAAAATAAAAAGCTGCTTCAATCATATATATATAATAAATAACAAAAAAACACGTAAGGCATTGGTAATAGTAAAACTCTTATAATTCTTGACTAACTTTGATTTGACATGATTTTAAGCTATCTTTAGGGAAATGGGTCTCATGTCACGTCCTAATTCTTCAAATTTGAACCTTCTTATCATGATGCTTATTTGACGCTGAATAATCGACAACAATACTACGATATTTATACACCGATACACATAACTTTCAAAGTACTTCACAGTCGAATCACTCATTGTATAGTTATGCTAACTTGTATCCCTAATTGTAAATAACTGTTTTATTATAGCACTGATATAAACACTGTACGCCCATTCTGAACTTTTGCAACCGAGCCGTTATAGTCGAGTGAGAAATTTTGCTTTTTTTCAACTAAGATATTGCGTTAATATACGCGGTTAACCATGATCCCATTGCTCACGCGTGCAAGTGGCTCGAAACGCGACGGTGTCTCTTGATAAAAAACGTCTTTTGCTAATTTTGCCAGTCTAGCTATGGACTTGAATAGGATAATATGAAGATAATGAGAGCGATACGTCCCATTAAATTGTACGTAGTTGAGTATAATAATCATCATTATATCGATGTTATCAAATTTATCATTATATCGATCAGATTTATCATTATATCGATGAAAAACAACCTACGTAAAAGGTAGCAATTTAATTCGATTGATCATAATGATACTCACGTATGTCAGTGGAGGCCACCGCGAATAGCGCGATAGTGAAACTGAAAAAAAGAATAGAAAAGTTTTTCAGCGAGTTGACAGAGGACAAATTGAATAATTAATATCTACACGAAAATAATTTTACAAATATCTTATCTTGAATTTCAACATGTTATAATTTTACTGCAATATTACGATAGCCCATTAGAAAGCGCAATATGGTTATTCTGAAAGTAATAAATTTTGTTAAGACATTAAAAAAAATTATATCAAAAAGTTAAATGTGTTATCTTGAGTAATTCTATATTTAGATCAAATGTATATTAACACTATACGCCGTCCGGCGACACCACGTTGGTGTCGTACGAAACTATTGCGCAAAGGCCGACGACACCACGTTGGTGTCGTGCGCAAAATATCGCGCAAAGGCCGGCGACAGCACTGTGGTGCCGTTTGTGTTCTGATTGTGTACTGTTGGTGTTCTGTTTGTGTTCTGTTTAAGTAACAATAAGTTACAGACATCATGATTCGATCGACAGACTTTCCGGTCAGCTAAAGCAACACCAGCTAATACAAATTTCCGAAACCGACAAACGAAAACGAAGAAAGTGCCATGTATGTTCCAAAAACAAAAAAAGAAGGACAACAAATTTAATGTGTAAGTCTTATGGAGTCGCGTTACACCTCGGAGATTGTTTTGCTTCATATCATATAAAAGAGAAATACTAAGTACCCAATAAAATATTAATAAATAAATAAATATATAATACAAAAAAATGTTACATTTATTTATATATATCCTCGAAATTTCATGAAAATAGCGGGACAGGATTGAAAACTAATGAGAACTGACGATTTATGATCTCCCGAAAACCTCGAAAAACCGCCGGCGACAAGCGAAATGATCAGTCCTACCGGCGCCAAACAAAAGAATCCCGATTAGACGTGCGGACGACATAGTGTTTAATCTTCTCTCAACAATATGAACGTTTTTACTTTAAAACATAAATCAGGTCTTATATTTAAAACTGTCTTAGATTAGGTTTATATTCAAATACATGAGATTGGTCAGGTATTGAATGTTCTGCCATTACTGTTTCGAAATATTTACAACAGTTTGGAATGATCAAGAAGCTCGACACTTGAGTGCCCCGCATCAATTGAGCGACAACAATTTAATGGACCGAATTTCTGCTTGCGATTCGTTACCTAAACGTAATGAAAATGAGTATTTTCTTAAACAACTCATTACTGGCGATGAAAAGTGGATGCAATACAACAATGTTAGTCGAAAAAGATTATAGTCACAGCAGGATGAGTCACAGCGGGGTGGTTGGGATATTTTAGTGCATCCACCATATAGTCTGAACTTTGCACCTTTAGACTATCATTTGTTTATAACTTTACAGAAGTCTCTTAATGGTATAAATTGGAACTCCTACCAAAGCCACTTGGATCAATTTTTTGTTAACAGATTCCTGGAATTCTACAAGAGAGGGATCTTTCAGCTACCAGACAGTTGGAAGAAGGTCATCGATTAAAAAACATATACATAATTGATATAACTTTTTTGTGGATATACAAATAAATGTTTTTAAAAACACTAAAAAATCGGGACGAAGCAATTTTATAACCTAAAATATTGAGAAATCAACTCAATTCACGAGAATTTCGTTAATATAAAAGTGTTCCAACTCTTTCTATATTTTTGGACTTGCGGTAAATTCCCGCGCGGAATAAATATCAGGGTTATCCTATTGGCCAAACGCGTGATAAATGTTTGTTTGAAGTTGCCAGAGCTTAGAAAAAAGAAAGACAGACGTATTTCGCGATCGTTCAATTATCGAAATGTCAAACTAGTAAGAGCACTACAGAAATATCAATCGGATCTGAAATGCACAAAACTTTGTGAACATAAGTGTTAATTTCAAGGATTATCGGGGAAAAACAAATGCGCAATTCATCCAACGAAGCGTAAATCTTTGAACTCGAGTTGAAATTCCGAAAGGACGCATATGAAGTAATCATGCAATCGTTCGTAAAAAATGAATCTACATTGCCGTTGCAAAGAATAAAGTCCGACGGTATGCATCTGACGGTATGTACCTTGTCTCAACCTCTTTGATTGTCGATGTTAACTGTCGAATAGACGTTCATAAAAAGTCTTGGAAGCGAAAGCAATAGTTGGATGTCATAAGATTTACATTTTTAAGTGGTCAATTAATTTAATGGCGCTGCCAGCTAGTTACCGGTAGATAATGCGAGAATATACGACGAAAAAAGATTACGAGGCAGTGAATCTGAAGGTGATACGCGATCGGGGAATAAATTAATTCTTTCGGCGTGACTAGAATTCGTCACGGGATGCTGCTCATGCCCAAACCATCGAATCATTATCTATTCGATAATCTGTTGTTGTTGTAACGTTACAGAAGAGATGTAAACAAGAAAGAAAATGGAAGAAGAGAGAGGAAAAATAAGAGAAAAAGAAAAGAGTATGTATGAGAGAAAATAAAAGAAGAGGAAACAAAAAAACATCGCAAATCTAAGTATATCATTTTTATACACTTACGTGTGCAAAATCGTTTAGTTGCTTTTTACGCATTATTTTATTACACGATTTATTCGTATTATTTTATATAGTTAAATGAGTACATTTTATATGTTCACATATTAAATTACGCATTTAAAACGTATAATTTTAATAATTCCTTATACTCTTTTATCTTTTATAACCAAAAATATATATCATTAATTAACTATTAGTGTGTTGAATTTTATAGATGTATTTTTGTCAAATGTCTACTTTTATAATATACTTATCGTATTGTTAATTTACATTATTTGAATAATTATTATTATCTAAAAGAGATTCTGTGTTTTTTAATTACGAGGAACATTAAAAATTAAATATTATTATTTAGGGAGAAAATTCTTAGTGTTTTCGTTAAATTTTTTACAGAGAAACGCTAAAAATTTTTTCCCCAACTTAATATACATTGCCTTATAATTACACGTAAGACTCACGTGTAAGAGGACTTAAATGTGTAAAGTGTAATTTTAACACAGAAAATCAAATCATATACATAAATGTATATAATTTTATACACACAAGTGTGTATTTACTACACATTTTAAATTTGAAGTAAAGATGAAAAGATGACTTTCGTATTTATTTTACGCGAAATATTGGAGTACGTTGCGTAACATTTAATTTCAGTGTCTGTGTGATTTGAGCGAAATTCTGTTTTACATTTTCCACGCATTGATCGTTCTGGAACGTATTGAAAGGGAAAGAGAGAAAAATGCAGAAACGCTCATTATACGCTCAGTAGGCACGCGAATTAATTGCAGGCCCGGTGAAAATGCGTTTGCAAAAATTTGGCAAATCATATGTTACGTTTAATTTGAAACGTGACAAACACAATCCTCTCGAAATATAATATTTACGGCCGTGATTAGAGGTTCTGTCAATCGGGCGGATAGAAATTACGACATAATGATTACAGATTAATTTCCGTATTTATTCGTCGAAAGGACGCCTCCCACTAGAAAAAGATTGCGCGACTTTCTTTTCTGTCCAAACATCGATGAATAATTTATAGCAAACTATCGGAGCGGCCTGGTGCATACCAAATATAATCAACATGCTCACCGATGCACCAGACTTAAGTAATCTACAGTGAGCCAAGTAGTACTATAAATAAAAGCGAATTCAATAGCTATTATTAATATCATAGGACTTTGATATAATTGAATTCCACGTGTATAATGTATAATGTAAATGTCTATATTTCTATGCGCAACTGCGTAGAGTATTCTTGTTATATGAATTATTAAAATTTCTAGGTATGTAATTTAGTAATAATGTCAGACATAATAGTGGCAGTATCTCGCAAAGCAACGAGATAGAGACGTTCTTAATGGATGATGTGTAAAATGGACTGATTTTGTACTTCGCAATAGCAAATAAAAAAATATATATTTTCCCGACAAATTAAATTTTTTAATCGGAATCGGATTCAACACCTCAAAAACTAAAAATAAAAATAAAAAATACTGTTTTTACTTGCCGCGTGCCAAATAGGTCCATTTTAATCATCATCCTCTGTTCTAAGATCGCGATATCTTCTTGGAAAATCCATTAGCCGAATCGATTATCAATTACAAGATGAAATGGAATATTATTATGCATCTATATTAACCAATATTATTATTAGACTATCAATATCGTAAACACTGAAAAATGAATTTAGTTGGATCTATCTGACAATTGACAACAAAACGTGTTTTGGCGGAAGGAAATAGAATTCCTATATGGGAAAAAATAATTTACTGAAACTTACAGATGAAATTTTTTGATATTTTACAGCATATTTTACACTGTCGTAATAAGATCTGTCAGTTACTGTATGGACAGTAAAACAATTTGTTAAAAACACCAATTGCCATTTGCTGGATTATTTTGCTGAATCTACAAATTAGTAAATGTAGGAAAACACTATTTTATCCTAACAGTAAATTAACGTCTAAAGGTAAATTCACTAAGCAAAATTTCCTACCCTAGCAACAAAATTGTTTCTACTCTAATAAGAAATTATTTAGCCATGCCAAATAAATTTTATTGTTGTCGTAGCGAATATGCAGCAGCAACACTGGTTTCATTGCAACAACAACATTATTTTTCTTCGTATAGCTCTCATGAACCAAATTTGGTTCTCACAATCGAAAAATCTGTTTACTACAACGGAAACGCACTTGACTGTCTATTGTCGGATTTCACCAAACTGATTTTTCATCTCTGTTACGGCGGTCGCCGGTCAGATTGTCAAAATCCGATTGAAGCTGCGAAACGCGAAGTAACACTGACCCACCAACTGGAGTTCCGCGACCACGTAATTACGAGATCTACTTTCTCATGCCATTTCATAACGCTCTGACCTAACATAATCACTGATTACGATGGATATAGTAATAGCGAAAATTCGTGTTCAACGGAATCTGGCTCACACGGCTTTCGTCGCGTTTCACAGTTTCAAACTCCACTGACCGGCCCGACAATCGCGATTTTCATGACGAAACCGCACAAATGATGATGCAGATGACGATCGGGACGATACGATCAAACGGAAAAGTCACAATTAATTTACCAGATGTGAAAGGCGTTCATAGCGATCAAAAGCGATCCAAGGTTCAATCACGACTGGTATGAACGTTACGCGTCAACGTTTAAAAAGAAGATGTGACGTTTTGTCATACGTACATCGATTAGTCCTCTAAGCCGGATCACTGGGGGGGTGGGAGACAGGTAACACGAGACCTTTTTATGCATTTTTATTGAACCTGATTGCCTTGTACCACTTGTCGCTTATTGGTACAATCCTGCTAAGCCGATGACGATTGGAAAACTCGTGTCTCGAACTCCCTTCGTTACGTCGTCGTGATATCGATAATATCGGATTAAGCGAAGGTCCGCCATTGTAAACCAAATCCCTCTCTTTCGTCTTTCGGTTTCTGACTTCGGAACTTGTCCGAATCTACCCGAATGTAATCTACGTCCTCTCTCGAATACCATCAAGTTACTATTTCATCGCATGCACGGTGCGACGCTGGAAAGCGAGTAGAAAACTGCCAGACGCAATTCAATCGCATTTCCAGACGCGTTCCTGCCAGTTCCGAACCAGCGTTTCGTAATGTCTCGTTGCAGTTCAGTGGTCTAGATTGCTCTCCTGCATTGGGATCCAGAAGCTGGGAATAGAAATGACGTAATACTATTAATATAATACTAGCATTGACATTTTACTTCCAATATCAAATATTTTTGCATCGATATTTCCTTTCGACATTCCTACCTATATTATTAGTACTGTCTTATTTCAATATCTTTCTTTTAATTTTTTACTCAGTCAATCTACAAGATCTCGTGTGTTTTTGCTTCATAAAATTTAATGTAACATAACTGACATTTTATCCACCTATCTTTCCTCGTTATTTCTGTTACGTTAATTTTACGGTTATTTATCGATTACTGAAATAAAAAGAAAGAGTCCGGATATTTGTACAAGTGTTTTTACAAATATATTATTTTATTTCCACGTATGTAATCCCTCACGATAGTTTTTGGTATGTAATTTCTCGCTTCTAACACTTCATCAAACAAAGACAGTCATAGCGAAGATGTAGAATCCTTAACACATTCTTTCTATGGTTTTCAGATCGCAAACTGTAGAAAGTCTAGCGCAGAAAGTAAAAATATTCTTATACCATAGTATGATTATTATGTTTAGATATACGAAACTTTTAAATATAACTCGCAAGATAAATACTTCCCTTATTTTTAGATTTTCCCTAATTTAAATTTGTTTTGAGTTTCGGTACCAGTATGGGTATCAATATTTTTATTCTGATACTAGTATCACTAATGATATCGATACTCTTGATTAAATACCCGAATGAACAGTAGTTACATCCGGATGAAAAGGAAACATCGATGCTTTTTCGGACCTCGTTAACTGTTTTAAAGTGCTCATCAGCCAGGTGATGTTGAAGTGACCGAAATAGGTGGCAGTCCGACAGGGCGAAATCTGGTGAATAAACCGCGTGAAAGAGAACTTCCCAGCCCAATGTATAGATGATGTTCTTAGTCCCTTTTGCGATATATGGTCGAACGTTGTCCTGCAAAATCACTTGCCTATTTCTGCTGCCAATATAAGGTCTTTTTTGCTCCAACGCATCGTTCAAACGGATAAATTGTTGTTGATAGTACTCCGCAATATTAGGCCAGGATCCAACAACTCGTAATACACCACATCCTTCATATCTCACCAGATACTCAGCAAAACATTATGTTATTTTTTGCATGAATATTGGGCTTCGGAGTCGACGGTTTACCGAGATCTGCCCACGATTTCCTGCGTTTAGGGTTGTCATACAATACTCATTTTTCATCACCCGTAATGATTTTGTATAGAAAATCTTTTTTTTTAAATCGAGTCAGCAAAATTACCGTGTCGAATCTTCGCTTCTTGTTTCCTGGATTTAGGTTGTGCGGAAGCCTCCTTCTGAATTTTATCGAGTTGATGTAGACGATGAAATATGCATTGTTGAGTAACTCCGAGATGTAATGCAAGCTCTTGTTGAGTTTAAGCGAAGTTTTCAATCAACAGTTGCTCGAGTTCCTCGTCGTCGAATTTTTGTGCTTGACCCGGACGTTGTCGATCCAAAAGATCAAAATTTTTATTTCGCAACCGCTGGTACCACTTTTTACATATTTTATGCTATTATAGCGTCTTCACCCAGAGCGGCACAAATCATCTCCATAACTTCAGCAGAATTTTTTTTTCATTGAAATGCGGAAAGCATGTAATGCCTCAAATGCTGCTTATCAGCCACCGATCGTGTTTACTGCTGTTTCATGACGTTATGTCACTTGCTTCACCAAAGCATATAATAGTTTGAGAACTTAATGGTATATACTTACAAACTGCAAAAAGGGAAACAATTTAGTTTTAAAACGGAGTTATAAAGCACGAAATGTAAGGGCACTGAATTAATTTGTACACCTAATATATTAAATAATATTTATTTTCTAATAATGTAAAGCTAAACTCACTACATAACATACTAATAATATTTATTTTCTAATAATGTAAAGCTAAACTCACTACATAACATTATAATATAAACGAAGAAATAAAACAGAACAATCAGTAGAAATTTGTCGAGTCTGCCACTGTATGAAACCGGCGATTGTCACGGCTTAAGAATCAGCATGTGAACAATTTAGATAGATTTGCGTACAATCGATGGGAGCTAATCGTCTGAAAATAGTTCGTTGTAGGTCATAGTTTGGATTATTTTGTTGCTGACATTCAAGAAGAGATTTTCCAAGGAATTTTCCAACAAAGGCGTTATCTCTTGCACAAACAGATCGTCTTTGTTCAAAAGGTCGTTGGCCACTTTTCCTAATTTGGGAGAAAACTAGTTGATTGCATATATGATTTATATACATATGGTTCTATTTTCTTTTTAACAGTAAAATATTTGGAAATATTATGAAATTTTAGAAATAAATGTTTCAGACCAAAGTTATAGGATTTTGAGAGAGACATAATATGACTTTGAATCACCATTGGATGGCGTTTTTCAAGATCCTTTCAGGATCAACTTCTTTTTTTTTTAATCAAATCATTGTTTTTCTAACACAAATCGATTCCTCTCTTTATTTTGCGTATAAAAGTGTAAAGGTAAGATTGTCGAAAAGTAAATCTTTTCTAAGATATTTTATATTTTATCTAGATACTTTTTAGTATAAGATATAAAATATCTCATATATATATATATATATATAAAAGATATTTATAAAAAAAAAAATATATATATATATATATAAAACAGAGAAAAAGCAAGAAAGAGCAGAAATGTACATATTTACACTGCGAATAAAGAGAAAACATAAATTTGAAGTTATATACATACCAAGAACTTTATCTCCATTAAACAAATTATCAAGATTGATGGAGCTTTTGCTTATATGGATGTTAAGTTTTACCTTGTCGAAGTATATATAAATATCGTTATCCCTATGAATTTTGCTAGCCTTTATAATCACACCAGAGGTAAAATTGTCTGCAAAAAACAAGAAGTTAGCGTAGGTATCTTTGTGGATCCTCCATTATTCTTCTAGCGCATTGATTTTTTCTCATCCTAATAGTTATAAGAGAAAAACGATGAAGGTTTATAGCCAAGAGTGGCACGCCTTACGAAAATTTCCGGTGAGATTCCCTGTTCCTTTCAACTGAAGCAACAGTATTTGCGCATTTATCGAATATTTCCCTTGAAACTCGAGCTTCGAGAAAGTGGCGTTGAATGTGAAGAGTAATTTATTCATATCGGCTTTGAGATTATCGATTTTAAACGTGGACGCCCCGTACACCTATTCACCAAATATTTTATTTAAAAGTACTTTATATTGTTCAGTAAATAAATTCCCAGACAACACAATGTCTAAAATCGGGACATAAGACGTCGTAAAAATATTTTTAAGATGTCTTTAAAACGTTCTATGTCTCAATTTTAGCCTGTATGCATGACATTATATTCGTAATCGCGATTCAATTAAAAAATTCATATTTAACTTTAACCTCTTCAGTGATAAATTTACTAAAATCAGATGTACATGATTTAAATTAACGAATTTAAATTAACGAATTTAAATTAACGAATATGATATCTGTCAATCATGTAACGATATTTCTCTTTTTCTTGTGGAATCCTTTGATGAATATTTATTCACAGTAATGTTCGTTATATTTTGTTGACATTGCTCGAACTAGAGAAGAAAAATTGAATGTATTAAATGTATGGTTAGTCACAAGAAAGGTACAATACTTTTTTGTCAAACAGTTTTGCAACGTATCTCATATCCAATAGGAAAATGTATCTTCTGAGAAATACTAAAAGCAAATTCTCTTATTAGATACGGGACGCGTTCCGAAACTTATCAAAAAAAGTGTTGCAATCTTTTTGTGACTGACTATACATGTAGGTATCATCATCCGTGGAAAGACTAAACTTAAAAATCTGAACATCTCAACTGAGACTAGTTTTTCAAATAACGGTTATATAAGCTTTAATGTACTAACCTCTATATTTGTGATATTCATATCGAGACTCGCGCTACTCGGACCTCTCTTCAAGTGTAAGTTCTCCATCATGAACGGTTCTATCGATGGAACATCTAGTTCTGGAATTCCCGTGCTTAGCTTGTTTCGTAGTAGTTCGACGGAATTCACGATGCACTTGTTTAAGTTCGGATCATTTCGACTGCATATTTTTATGAATGATGCTGCAAGAAAGGTAGGAACGAAAATCGAGAGAACGCTTTAAGATGCTTTAAGCATTGTCTATTAATGCTGTACTTTCAATGGCGCATCAAGGGAGCAACTTATAAATTTAATATTTATCAAATAAAATTACGTTTCTATATATTTATTTCACTGTCCAAGTAATAAATAATAAATGTTAATGTGAAATGCAGTTGAGATAAATAAATAAATAAGTAAATAAATAAATAAATAAATATATATATATATATATNTAATGCGTTACGTCGACGAAAGATAACCTACATGAAAAATAACGGTATATTTCGATTATGATGATACTCACGTATTTCAGCGAAGGCCGCCGCGAACAGCATGCTGGCGAAACTGAAAAAAGAATGGAAAAGATCTTCAGTGAGTTGACAGAAGAAAGGTTAAATAATTAATATCTAACATATTTGTTACTAAAGTTTATTTGGAGGGCTCTCCTTACAGACTATCTTGTCTTCTTCGTTTCTTTACGTGATTCTATAAAATAGCCTCAGTTTAATAATACGAACATAGAAACCCAATTTTTGTGCTTATTATATACATATGACACTGGTAGCGAACGCGTTAAACTAAGAAAGTTTTTATGCTAATCTCCGCTAATAGTCGTTTTTGCAATAAATGATATTTCGACCACTTTTTTCTTCAGGAAAATTTTTTCTGTTTGAAATTTCTGATATTTTTATCATAAAGTATAAGTTTTCAGCTTTATTTTGAACTGTAACTGCTGAAAAAATCTATCAGAAATAACTTGACAGAACCTAAGACAAAATGAAGTCTCATTTCATCACTGTTATCAGAGGAAAATATGCGATTTACTCAACAAAGCGTAAGCCTTTGAACTTCAATTAAAATTCCGACGCATATGAAATAATTACGTAAATCCGCTAATAAAAATGATAACCGACATTGCCGTTGTAAAGCGTGAAGTCCAACGGTACTTGATCTTGTCTCCACCGCTTTGATTTTTAATGTCGACTAGTGAATAAATGCTCATAAGAAGTTTTGAAGGAGAAATGAATGGTTGTATCATAAGTTTAAATTTTTAAGTGGCTAATTAATTAATAAATTAATGGCTAAGTAATGAGCCATGTAATTGGTGTGTCATAAATTTAAATTTTTAAATGGTTAATTCATTTAGTGGTGTTGTCGGGTGGTACGTATGTAAAGATATAAGAAAGGAATACGAGGCGGATTTGAAGGACACGATCGGGAAATAAATTAATTCTTTCGGTGAGATTAGAATTCACCACGGAGCGCTACTTAAGGCCAAACCATCGAATCATTATGTATTCGATGATCTGTCACTGCATAACGTTACGGAAGAATGCGAACAAAGAAAAAGAAATTGAAGAAGAATACATATAAAAGAAAGGAGAAGAAGAAAGAAAGAGAACACTGCAAATTCAAATGTTTCATTTTTGCACACTTATATGTGTAAAATTGTGTAAGTCACTTATTACGTATTTTCACGTGTGTTATCACTATACGTTTCATACGTTTCATTTATCTGTATTACTTTAGATAGTTAAATATATAGGAAGAATTAAGAAAATTCAAATGCTTGTAACGCAGTAAACAATTATGACGTAAATCTGGTTAAAAAACTTTTAATGTCGATTGAGTGGGATGTTTAGTTTTTCAATGGCGGATGATACAGTGAGGACTTACAAAGTTGATAAGTAAAAAGTTCACTTTCTGCAGTTGCATGGAATGAATCTGTTACATATCTCAGTGTCATAAAAAACAAAATGATGAAAGTTCAAATATTGAAACATTCAAGTTCAGCGTAAAGTTTAAGGAGGTTCGGTAGTGTTAGCGGGGGGAAATCTTAGAGAGGTAAGAGGAGAGAGAACGTCTGACAACGCTGCAAATTTTTTTGGCTGCTGACACGTCGTCGTCGTCGTCTATTGACATTGTACTTGTGTACTCTATTAAAATTATTATAATTAATAAATTGAAAATTGACTGTAAAAAATAATTTATTTGTTAAATTTAAATGAATGTACTTGTTGAAATCGTGTGACTTTGATGTTTAAAATGGGTAAAGTTAAAAGAAAAACAAATAACCTTCAAATTACTACGGATGCTGCTGGCAAAGAAAGAATTCGTTTTAATGGAAAGTTTGTTAAAAAATTAAAAGTAGATAGACACTTACGAGGCAAAATGTTAAGTGAAATGAGAGAAAAAGCTCAAAATCTTAAAAATTCTTCAGTTGAAATGACCAAAGTTGACATTCCTGTTGACGGTGAAAGAGTTGTTAATTTCGATTGTACGGCCAAGAAAATGTTTTGCAGTACATGCAATCATAAACTACATTTGACTGATATTATTGACGAATGTGTTCAGGGATTAGGATCCATTTTTCATGTCAAATGTGAAAAATGTTCACATGTAAACAAAGTTGAATCGAGTGCAAAATATGTATCTGTGATATCAGTTTCGCTTATAAAAAAATTAAGTCAGAACGGAGTTGCCTATGAAAACATAATTGACAAATATTTCGAAGGAATTGACAAATTAAAACCAATATTGATGGGTGGAAGTAATCCCTTGATAAAAAAAATCAATATTATGGATAAAATTTTGGAATTTTTGAATATTTTAGAAAATATCATCCAAGATAAAATATGAGTATAATATATACTAGATTAGAAGTTATATAATATTGACAATGAGTTATTTTAAAATAGATTTCAAACATATAGAGAAAATATAAAAAACGACTCTGGTCAATTATTACATAGTCATTATTTTCTAAAATAATAATTATTATAAAAGTATTAAATTTTTCTATTAAAATGTTGTAATGTGTTAATAAAAATAATATTTTCAATAAAACGTTTTAAATTACAAAAGAAGTTGTTTTTACTATACATTGAATTTCAAAGCGCGCACCGAAAACAGCGTTGNGACAGTGTTGCTAAGTCGTCTGCTGCAACCACATTTTTAGCTATTTTTTAATAGAAATTTGTAGTGGGGCTCGCTCAAACTTTGACAGAATATTATTTTAATAATATTCTTTCATATAAAAAAAAAAGCATCTTCATTGAGCCGTTTTTTTTTAATTTGAATTTTAAGTGATTTCTCCATAAGCCTACATGTTAAAATGTCGTTTTTTTAGGTCAATATATCTTACAAACGGTGTAGTAAAACCCTTCAAAAATTTAGTTGTGATATAATACTATTATTCCGAATAATCTATTAAAATTTCAAAAATTTTCATCATAAAAAATCATCACTACCGAACCTAGCGGTATCAAATTGAATGGGTGACCATTTTGCTGGCTTGAGATTGAAAAATATATGAGATATTTGGAACAGTTTTTAAGCTTACCGGCAGTCAGGAAACTGCTTAAATTAAGATGGCATGACATCCAAAGAATCGAGCTATACGAAATTAGAAGAATTTGTGAACGAAATATATTTTTTTTCAGACATTTTTTATGAAACAATAATATTGTTTGAATAAAACAATATTATCATTGGAGCCCGAGAGAATATTCCTTTCGTTTCAAACAAATATTTTATTTAAGATGAATATATATATTCTTTGTAAAGTCCAACAATCGATACTTATTGATCGAAACATTAGTTTCTCCGGGAGCATCCCAATGAAGCCTTATTTGGATGTAATACAATTTATTAAATCTAAATAAATCTTCTTCTGCAGCTTCAATTTTCACTGACGATGATGACGATTATGATTTTTATGCGCACAGCCGCGAGTCGAACAAATCACAAATTACGATCGGGACAATACGATCAAACGGAAAAATCACAATTGATTTACCAGATACGAAAGATGGAAGGATTCATAATGCTGGTTAAACCGAGACAATCCAAGGTTCGATCACGACTGACGTAGATGCTCTCTGCCAACGTTTAAAAAGAAGATGTGATGTTCTATGCACTTATTTGTTTTCTGAGTAGGATCATTAGGAGAGAGTAGGAGACTGGTAAATAAGCCGCGACTTTTTTCACGTCTATTCATTCAGTCAATTAATTACCTCATGTCACTTGCTGTCACTTACTGTCCTTTGGTGCATCTTCGCTACAGCGTGACAATTAGAAAATGTATGTACGCCTTGAATTCACTCGGCCAATTGACATTATGTAATCGATAGTATCGGACCTTTTCTTACTGATAGTTGCTGTCGTGAAGGACCAAGTCCTTCTCTTTCGTCTCCCGACTCCTATTTTCGGAACTTTTGCGAATCTCGCGCGAATGTAATCCAAGTGCTCGCCGAAGTACCACCGGTATCCTTTTATTATGTGACGCGGCGCGGTGCGACGCTGGAAAGTGAGTAAAAAAGCAGTACTTAATAACTGCTTAAATCTCGATTTTATTTATTTTTTAAAGAAAGCAGTAGTAGTTCACTTTAGATAGCTGTCACAACAAAGTCAATCGACAAATCCGTTTGAAACGCAAAAGTATGGAGGATGCTGTGTGTAGACATTTTAGGACTTATCAAAAAACACTCGTACGAGTAGCAGACTTTCCATTTGAGCAGATATGTACAGTGATCACTGAAATTTCTTAATATATGAACGAAATTATTAAAGTTATCGATCGTTCGATCTTGAATACATAAAAATTTAATTTTAAATGTTATATTCTGTAGAAACAACTATACTACAGTGTAGCAAGCAAAATCTCGACTCGAATAGTCCTTCCTACAGCAATCAGTTCAGGAAATCTACAAACTGCGTCATAGATGTATATACAAACGATAGATGATGAAAAACGCATAAATTCTTATCTGATTTATAAACTGAATTAGAAATAAGATGATACGCTCTTCTCTGGTTTATCTGTTTCTTTTTTTCATTTAATATACATGATCACTCCATTATCGACGCGGAAACGATTCGCGAGTGATTCCTACATTTCAGTAAATACATCTTATAAAAAAATAACATAATTTTCTTATTTTCTTAGTAAATAACAGAACACGATTGCTTACGAAAATTATATCATAGTGGAATATCGATCTGATATCGGTACGACATTTGCGTGTAATGCAGTAATTGATCTTTTTCATTTCTTTATATCTTCTTTGCGATTGAAGATTACATTCTATATTTTATAGAATTATATTTTAATAAAAAGATATAGAATGTATTCTATATCTTTTTATTAAAATTACTCGAGAAGGTCTAATCTAGAGTTCTTAGAATCTTTTCTGCGAAAACGGACGTGTTCATTTATAATTCTTAGCGTTGATTTTCTTGGAGAAGCCAAGATTTGAGTTTGAAATTAGCGAGAACAAAAAAGCAAAAATTCGTTTAGAAACGAAAACGAAATATAATGCGAAATTGAATCTCGGTGTGAAAAATTCGCGTACATTTTTGTATTATCTTGCCGGCAAATATTTAAAAATATTTGCGCATTATCAAGAGCAATTTAGCCCTGATAAACCTAATTATTGTACATTAATTAATCCCATAATATATAACTTAATTAATGACAAGTAATAATACTTTATATACGAGCCATACAAATTAAAATATCAATCTTTATCTAAAATTTTTCATTCTCAATTGTAATCATGCTTGTCCTTGAATTATAATTTTTTACTTTGTCTTTTTTAACCTGTTTTTTTCATTTGATTCTCTGCCAAGATAATGTGTATGCTCATACTTGAAACTAGTTATACGTGTAAATTATTGAAGACAACAAAGCGGAAGTAAAGTTGATGCACCTATATAAATAGGAGCACGAACGATTCGTCAAGAGCAGTCCAGATCCGCGTTTTCTTCTAGAAGCAGTGTGATCAACATCATCATTGTTGCTCTGGGAAATATCGATTCTCGCGCAAGATACAACTACCAGTCAGAAACGAAATGTTCGCCGCAATTCTCACCTTGGCGTTTGTCGTAGCGCACATCGCAGCGGAAATACGTGAGTAGACATACAATCGGCAAATTAACTCTGCTGTTCTGTTCGAATTTATTATACGGTTGTACTGTTCGGATCAGTATGATCCGTCTTGTTATCTTATACATTCGCGGGAATATAAAAACAAAATAGATTCTTATAAATCTTAATTGTTAAAAATTCAAAGATAAATAACAAAAAATAAAAATAAAAAAATATTTCCATCGAAAAAGTTAAGTAAGTAAAACGTTTTTATGATTTGGTACACTCTGGACAAAAATAAATTAAGTGTGACTTACAAATATGTTTCTTATAATTGCTACACAAAATATTTGTTTTGTTGTCATTACTTGATGAGTAAAATTTATAATGAATACGTTTAGTATTAGTCTCCGCAGTAGACCTTGAACGACTTGATTTACTTCTTACATTTTTCACTAAAATATTATACGACTTTTCAGTTCTTGGTATATATTTTTTTTATGTAACATACACACTTATAAAAGAAATATTTTAAGTTCCTTTAAAAATAATCTTCTTTTAGTAAATTTGTTTTCAGGTCAAGGTTTATTGAAGTCCACAGGACAAATGTATTGTATTATAAAACGGAAATATCAACCATATTGTAAAACATAACCATTGATTAGCGATTTTTTATATAACAATAAAAAGTTTTAGAAAAAAAATGAAAAATCGTTAAAACTTTCTTAGTTAAATTAATATTCTTGAACTATGAAACAAAGTCATTATAATGCCAAAATACTCACTCATCACATAAAAATGTAATAAGGAAATAAAAATAATTTTGAATCAAATAAACCTGAACGGAACAGGATTAAGAGTGATAACACTTTTTTTCGGGTGAGTCTTATAACGAACCCTGCGTCCAATAGAAGAATTTGTTTCCTAATAATTCACAAGAGATATATTTTCCTAGTAAATACAATGTGCGTTACAAAATGCATCGAAAAAAAGTGTTGCAATATTTAATTTGCCGATTGTAGGTACGTAATTGAATGTGTAATATTCGAGACCAGAAAGAGCAAATTATTGAAATATATTGATCGCGCCTTTCGTAGAACGTTTTATAGAAACTAACGAAAGTAACTCTTTGTAGCTCCCTACATTAATGTGTGCAGTCGCAGAGACCCGAATCTCGATAGGTGCCTCTTGGAGAATATTAAGAATTTGAAAAATAAAATATGCCAGGGAATGCCGGAACTCAGCGTTCCACCGACTGAGCCAATGCATATGGATCAAATTGACGTCGACACCGACAACACTAAAATATCCTTCACTAATATGTACGCAACGGGATTCTGCAATTACGAAGTGCAATCTTTGCATGTGGACCTCGAGAAACAACATGTTGACATTAAAATCATATTCAAACAAATAAATATAAATACGACGTGTAGCTTCAACGTAAACGTAACGAAACCCGTTTCTATGAAAGGACCGATTCGTATTACCACAGGTACGTAAAATACGTAAAATATGACTGCTTATACGTAACGAAATTAGAAAAAGAGACAACACGATTCCGAGATTCGCGTTTTTGGAATAAACAGAAAAGCTTCAGTTCTATGCGTTAAGCAACCGAGAAGTCTGATTTGAAGTGTTCACTTATAACATGGTATTATCCCCCATAGATAATGTGTCGGCGAAAGCAGGCATTGATCTCAGTATGGCAACCGAAGGCAACAAGGAATACGTATACTTGTCCAATATGGACCTGGATCTCGACATCAAAGATTACAAGACGGACGTCAGTTCGTTTAACGATGGAAAGATTGTTCAAATGCAAGAGATAAGTCAGAAAATTCTAGGCACAAACCGACAGGAACTTCTCACGGTGTTGAAGCCGAACTTAGAGAAGATCATTTCCAAACAAATCCTTACCTTTTCCAACGAAATTGTCAAACATTTCACTTATGACGAGCTCTTCCCCGACCATATATAAGGGAAAGAATATTTTTGTTGCGAAAATATCGAAAGTAGTTTATGTCTTACTTGCAAAATGATAACACGCTTTACTAAAAAAAATAATATGTGGTTACTAATAAAAATAATAGATTATTCAGGATCAAGTTTTACAGGATAAGTTACAGGTTATCTAACCTGCTTGTCAGATTTGACCACGTCTAATAGATGTCTAAAGCGGCTCTTTAACGGTTATTCGGGAGTGAAGAAATTGCGCACTTTTCTTCGCTATAACTCTTCAAACACAACTCACCAGGTCTATATGGTCCGTAAAACAATTGTTTACATATATTTATATAAAATTTTAACTTTATAACATTTTATAGTAGAAAATATAAAAATATAAATTTATAATAAATTGTAATATAACAAGTTGTTGTACTATAATAAATTGTGTCGCTTTATACGAAAACGACTCCGTGATCTCGAACACGTTACTGCACTTCAATCCCAATGACCAGTCTAATTAAATCAAGGACGCTGTTTTAAATGCTACACAAACGCAACCGCAACCTCGACATTTCCAAATTAAACATGTTTTATATATTTTTTTGCGTCTAGAACACGTTATTGAATTATTCGGTGATCGCGGAATTTTCTAAATGTAAATTGCAAAATGCCGTATGTGTCTCTTGCAAATAGCTCGAAAAATGCCGGAGGTCTTTGCCGAGATAAGGACGTCCTTGCAAGCCGACGTCAATTCGAGAATGCCAGCGTATCTGAACGATATGATACAATAAATATCGAGAGTCGCCACGGAAAACCAGGTAACATGATGCCGTTTCTTGCCGCTCTCGTTAGAATTAGCGAAAGTCGCAGAATGGAGCTGCTAAGCCGAGAAGCCGCGATCCGTAACAAAACTTCCCGAATTCCACGCTTCTCATGCTTGCGCCCATGCTTGCGAGTCACGTGCACGATCTACCCGCGTCTGCAACGACGCACAGTAGGAAAAAAAGTATACTTCTTGGACGAAAATCTCTGGACAATATAATTATTAACCACTTATTTAATTTGCTCGTTATGAATTGCTCTACAATTTAACTGTGTTCTTCTTTTTTTCAATTAGAGTTTCAATTCAAAATGATTAACTCAAAATGTTTGTCAGAAGTATAGGAATTGTAAAATATTGAATATTCTTCACCAAATAAAATATACGGGTTTCAGAGATTTCTAATTACATATCTGAGGATAAAATTTTAATTTTTTGCCACTTAAAAGGATCTGAAGCGGTCCGGAATATTTTACGGCTTTCTAATAGTTTCACAATATTTATGCATTCAGATTGTGTTTTTGCTTACATAGTAACACACATTGTTCGTTTATCTATAAATTTCAAAATATAACATGAAATTGATATAGCTGTCAAAATATCAAACCGTAACCATAATATAAAAGCAAAGGAATAGATTGAATTTTGTTATTTGGCTTTAAGTGTTTTATTAATAACGTAATATTTAAATCCTTTTATCTTCAAGATATTAGTCGTGATATTAGAATTTTTTGATTATTTTCTGTCGTCTTGATTTCTTGTATTTTAATATTTTGTTTTTTAACCTATATATTTGGTGTTATATTAATTGGTTTTTTATTTTTGTACTTAAAAATTTTTGATTTTTAAATACGTTTAAACATATCCATTCTAATAATTTATTTAAATTAGTTTTACTCATAAGGCTTGCCTTTTACTCTAATTAATCAATACATCTTTAGCCTCAGAAGCTAAATCTTTGATCCTCAAACAATATATTACATCCAAAATTGGGAAATAAAAATTTCCTTGTTAGTCGCATAATCTTACTCTTTTACCGTCATAAATTTAGAATTTCACAAATTAAAAAATTTACAGTTTAAAAATATCTCTCAACGCTATTATATCGAATATCTATCTTGAGGACATTTCCTTGTCGCAATAATTGAGCTTATTTTTCCTTTCGCAGGCATTAGACAAAAACTTTTCTTCAAGAAGTGAAGTTGCAGAAGAATGAAGTCACGTGTTTAAAGACAATACTAAGTATTACATAAATTCATTACTGATACTTACGTGATGACGTGTTTCACCTTGTGGATAATGTACTCTATCAAAGATGAGTCATGGAATCGTTGCGACGTTATAACAAGAAATAAAATAATTAAAATAATATTACGTGCACATGATTGTTTATTAAATTATCATTTGGCAAATCTGCTTAATTTAGATACCGGAGAAATTGTGGCATCTGTGATGGCTTCTAGAAAAAGAACCCTAGTAGAAATTGAACTTCGTAGGTGTTTAACTATAAAATAATAAATTTAAGTTTAACATCGCTATTAAATAATAACGTAAAGCTCATTTCTCCCAATGGTTAGATAAATAAGCTAACTATTAAACAAAAGACATTACAGTTATGAGATAAAAAATCATAACTACTTGTCACTCTTACAGAAAAATATTACTGCTTATGATAAATTGGCCATTCTATTTACCTTACATAATTAAATAAGAAATTTTTTATATTTTTATATAATATATTTTGGACTCATCGAGCGATCAGATAAATTCAACTTATTTGAAATGTTTATACCGATGACGACGGCAATTGTAGCTCGACAGTAGAAGTTTTCTCCTCATTATATTCCGTACTGTCAACTATATGAAGTTTATTTTTCTCGACAAGTAAAATATTTTATAAAGCAACTCTAGAATTTTGTAAAAACTTTACAAAGTAGATGACAACTCATACAGCACAAAAACTTGTAGCAACATTGTTGTAACATTGCCGTCAACATTGCTGCATGTGCTGCATGGGAATTATCTACAAAAGAGGTTGCTATCATTCTTTTATTAATTATTAACTTTTTCGTTTAAATCTTTGAAAATATAATGAAATATGTATGGTTTGCGTTCAAATTAATTTTCAAAGAAATCTGTTCTCAAATGACGCCAAATCATTAAGCTCAGTAGGAAATAGCTCATTATTCGCGAGCAAATGAAATATTTTGTTATTTGCTTCAAACATGTAAATATTCTCGAATTGCGTGAAGCACGCGATGTTTTTAATCGATGATAAGGTGCAGTAATTATATAGTTCTAGTAAGTTATGCGTAATATAACGTTCGCCTTTTTTTGCTCATTCTTGAAAAAGTGCTGCACTTGTTTACAAATCATACGTTACCAGGTGGAAATAGCAATCCATTTCTCTGACATCATCCATTTATACGTAGGTAGTTATTTATATTTCTGGCCTTGGTAGCAGGAAGTATTGCCAGACGCTATCTGACGTTGTTATTGGAAACTTGACATTGTTGAACATGAAAACATAAGAACACATTGTCATTTGAGCGCGGTTTGTGTTGTTTACAGTGAATTGAAAAATTCATGTCGGGCAAGAAATGGAATTAACTCGTGAACATTTTCGTGCGATCATTTTTCATAACTTTCGACGTGGATTATCAAGACAAGAGTGCATCGATGAACTTAATTCTTTATACAGCGAGAAAGCACCATCCTACAGCACTGTAAAAAACTGGTGTAACGAATTCAATCGTGGCCGACGTTCGTTCCAGGACGAATTCCGTGAAGTTGTCCAAAATCAGTTGTTGTGCCAGAAAATATCGATGCTGTGCGTGAACTGATAAAGCAAGACCGTCATGTGACATACCGTGAGATTGAGGCATCTTTGGGCATTAGTATGACAAGCATCAATAAGATATTGCATGGACATTTGTCCGTAAAAAAAATTTGTACGCGTTGGATCCTGCATAATCTGACAAACGCTCAAAAGAAGACTTGTGTTGATTGGTGCAAGGAAATGTTGAAAAAATACGTTCAAGGTGCATCAAAAGCTGTGTATAACATCTACACAGGTGACGAATCATGGATCTGTGCATATGAGCCCGAAACAAAACAGCAATCGACTGTATGGGTCTTCTAAGACGAGTCAAATCCAACAAAAGTTGTTCGCGGAAGTAGCACATCGAAGCAAATGGTTGCCTGTTTCTTCGGCGTTACCGGTCACGTGGCGACAGTGGCGTTAGAGCACTGTAAGACGATTAATTCTGAATGGTACACGACCATTTGTTTGCCAGAAGTCATTGGAGAAATTCGAGGAAAGCAGAAGAAGGGGCGAATCATTCTTCATCATGACAATGCGAGCTTTCACACATTGGGTCAAACAAAGGAATTTTTGACCGGCCAAAACATCGAATTGATGAGTCATCCGCCATAAAGCCCTGATTTGGCACCCAATGACTTCTTTTTGTTCCCGCACATCAAAAATAAATTACGTGGTCAACGATTTTCGGCACCCGAAGAAGCGGTTGATGCATTCAAAACGCATGTTTTGCAGTTACCTCAATCAGAGTGGAAAAAGTGCTTCGAAAATTGGTTCAAACGCATGCAAAAGTGTATTGATCATCATGGAGAATATTTTGAAAAACAATAAAACCAATTTTGATCATAAATATTTGTTTTTTCATTATTAGGCCAGAAATATAAGTAGCGACCTTCGTATGTGGTACTAGCTGCCACGTAATCAATATTAATGATCAGCATGAAGATTTATTCATTAATTTATTACGATTGGAACACTTCTCGATCTTATATTTTATCCGATAGAACGTCAATATGCGTGATAAATATATTTTATGTGTATACTGCCAAGTGCCTATCGAGTATGCATACTTGTATGTTACCTCAATCGCAGTCCACTAACGTGACCACAAATCAAAACTCTATTTTTAAGCTAGCCGTTCTGAATCATCATCCGAGGACATAGTGCGCATGCAACACACGCGACATCGTGTGTTGTGTTCCGATTACATCGAGTCCACACATCGTTCGTCGCATATTTTTGTAACTCGTTTTCGAAACACTCGCGCGCAGTTTGAACGCTGATGCGGGCACGTAAAGAAACCGCGTCCAGCGAGCCGCTTATGCAACTTCTCGGCAGTTGACAATTCCACAAACCTTCCGATAGGCACTATTTCCTAGTAAGAAACATTAAATATGACATTGACATTAACACACGCCGAGTATTAACGGAGAAACCAGAGATCCTAGCATGAAATGTGTAATAAACGTTTAAGGATCTGTTATTCACCAGTGTAGTATTTTTAATGACGCATCAAAGGGTAATTCGTAAATTTAATGTTAATATGTTAAGCAAAACTGCTCGCGGAAGGACAATCATAAAATGGACACATATACGTTTACACACACAAACATACACATTATTATCTAAGCTCCTCCCGCCAGTTGATTTTCTACAATTACGAAAGGATCTTTCCTATGTTGTTTATCTATCTCTGCACACTTGAGTCGTTCTCAGTTCCATCTTTTCGCAGATCGAGGTACTACGTACTATTTCGCTCAGCTACGGTAGGTAGAAATCATTAGCAAACGTATCAAATAATAGTTCAGCACTCTTCACTTTTATATTAACTATCGAAACTTACTTCTGATGGCTCAATATTGTTCTTTAATATTTTCCGAACTGTGCCCTGATATTGCTTCGTATTTGCAAAATGCACACTTTTGTACGAAGCACATCATTGTATGAGTCATATTTATCAAAATTATTCGAAAAAGTCTCATCAGTAGCGAGAGTTTTGAAAATCTCTGTTACGGTAGCGAACTTGTTCATTTTAATTTTTAACGTTGATTTTCTTGGAGAAGACCGAGATTTGAGTTAAAAATTGGTGAGAATAAAGAATCGACAATTTGTTTAGAAACGAAGACGAAATATGACGCGAAATTGTATCTCGGTGTAAAAAATTCGCATGCAACTTCGTGTTATCATACCAGAAAGTATTTGACAACGTTTACGCGCGATTTGGCTGTAAAATAAGCCCGATTATTATACATTAATTAATCACTTAATATACAGGGTGTCTTAGAGCCTTTAAGGGCAAACTTTTTCTTGAGTTTCAATTTTTAATCTTATTTAGTTTTAATTTTTGTATTCCCGCTTATTTATCTGCTGGAATGACTCGGATATCCATATATCAGTTTTTTATGTTTTCGAGAACCAGTTATTACGAAAGACACCGGTAAACTAATGATTCCATCTGAACGTATAAATACGAGAATAAACGATTCCTCAAGAGCAGTCTAGATCCGTTTCTTGTTATTGACGTTGTCATTATTGTGTCGGGAAATATTGCTTCTCATACGAGATAATAATGCTGACACAAAACAAAATGTTTGCTGCAAATCTCATTTTGGTGTTCATCGTAGCGCACGCCACAGCAGAAATACGTAAGTAGATATATAGATACGTAATTGAGTACATATCCGAGACTAAGGAAAGCAAATTATAAAAATATCGATCGCATGCTTTATGGAAACGTCGTACGATATTTCCATAGAGTGATACTGCACAATTCATTTTCAAGCCTCACTCGAAACTGGAAATATAAAATTACTGTCAGATTCAAAGTGATAATTATTCACGGTAAAATTACAGTAAGATGATAATTTATTGATAATTTTGGTAAAATTGATTATTCTTTTATAATTTCATGCACAAAGGCCATATTTATATTTTTCCCACTATTTCATAAAATAAAATATTATTCTTCTTATATTCTCATCAAATGTACATGTATGTGACAATCTCTAAAATGTTTTTCAAATGAAAAAAAAGGAATTATTTATAATTCGTCGAGGATATTAAAGTTTCTATCTCTTAAATTATTACTAAAACTATTTCTTTATATTATTCGTATTATACAATATCAGAATATTTTATGGAAAATATGAGTTAAATAAAGTGTTTTACTCATCTTGAAGGCTAATCGTTTTTTTTTTCTTTTGAACTTTACATCAAACAATTTTTTTATTTTTTTTTCTAAATTATATCATTTTACCAACTTTCCAAAATTACGGGTGATATACAAAAATTTACTGAGTAAATTACCATCAAATTGAATTATTTCGACTCAAAATTAAAAAAGGCAACTCTTTGCAGCTTCCTACATTAACGTGTGCGGCCGTAAAAACCCGAATCTCGATGAATGCATCTTGAAGAATATTGAAAATTTGAAGAATAAAATATGCGAGGGAATGCCGGAGCTCAGTGTTCCACCAACCGAGCCGTTGGCTTTGAGCAAAATTAACGTCATTAACAGCGATACCGCCAAAATATCCCTCGATAACGTGTATTTAAGGGGAATCTGCAATTTCGAAGTGCAATCTTTCCATATGGATCTCGAAAAGCGACATTTCGACGTTGACCTCATATTCAGGCAAATCAAAATGAACATGACGTATAACTTCAACGTGAATATAATAGTACCTGTTGCTATAAAAGGACCGATTAGTATTACCACAGGTATGTAACATATGATCGCTTGTACATAATGAACTTAGAAAAAAAGACAGCATAATTCCGAGAGACGCGCTCTTTGGTAGAGAAAAAAGTTCTAAAATCCAGTGCTTAAATCATCTAGAATACGATGTGTAGTGTTAATTTGTGATGTGGTGTCATCTCTCGTAGATAACGTGTCAGCAAAATCGGGCGTTGATCTCAATGTGGCGACGAAAGGCAACAAGCAATTTGTATACTTGTCGAATATAAAACTGGATCTCGGCATTAAAAGATACGATGCGAACGTTAGTTCGTTTGACGATGCACAAATGGCAACAATGCGAGAAATCGGCCAGCACTTTCTAGGCAACAACCAACAGGAACTCCTCGCGGTGTTGAAACCGATCTTAGAGGATGTCATTTCCAAGCAGATTCTTAACTTTTCTAACAAGATTGTCAGGCATTTCACTTATGACGAACTCTTTCCTGACCGGACATAAATAAAATAAATTATCTCGTTATTAAGACAAATATTCCGTCCTAAGAATTTTGTTACGTTCACATATCTAAATATCGAATACAGAAAGAGAGAGAGAGAGAGAGAGAGAGAGAGAGAAAATATAATCGAACCGTTGGAGACTTTTGGGTATCAAATTAATACGTACAATTTTAAACTAATATACATTGCACCTTTTATGATCGTGCGTTTATTCTCAGCTATCATAACACTTATACGATTTCGGTCGAATCTTGCATCCATTGCAAATCGATTGCAAGCAGATGCAAAAGATGAAAACATATAATAACACTTTCTAATAATAGTTATAAAATATTAAGCTTTACATACAATATTATATAATTTATTATACAATTACGTATTACATACAATATTAAATATAATATTATAATTACAGGCATGTGAGTGACTCACTTTTCTTATTTTTCCTCACTTATTTAGGAACACTTCACTTTTTCTTATTTTTAAGAGAAAAGCTCACGTTTATCACTTTTTTCTTATTCGATTTGTTTCAAAAAGAAACTCGATTACAAGAAATCATGTTCAATCACTTGCTTTTTTAAAGACAAAACGGAGGATTCAACGGAAATTAAATGTAGACAACATGAATAATAATGATGATTCCAACGATGTAATGTTTATAAAGTGAAGAACTGTGATTATATTAAAAAAAAAATATTTAAAGCTATACTTGTGAGAATGTCGAAATATTATGCGACATTACAGAAACTCGCGGAAGTTATATCAAGCTATGGATCAGGAGACACATAACCGCGCATTCCTTTCGAGGAAAAACAATCTAAAGAGATCTGGCGTGCGCGTTGTATCTTGCTCTTATTTATAAGTTCAGTTGTATAGTTAATCATACTGTCAATTCGAGGTGAACTGCGTATATAGCAGTAAATATAAATCGAAAACATGTAATTGAGAGTAATAAATTATTTTTTGTATAGATTCACGTGATGTAATTAGTCGTTTTTATGTGGATAATTAAAAGCGGTAACTCTCGTTATGTTTTTAACCTTCGACTTAATTCCTTGCAATTATCCTTACAATTTATAACTAGCAACTACTCGTTCCACTTTTGTGAGCAATATATGGAGAGAGGAAGAGATTCTTCCTCGTGGCGTGTTCGCCAGGCTCCCGTGTCGATTAATTTCGCGTCTTGAAACGTGAACACACGGTGGATCGGTAATTATTAATATCGTATCTTTGAAACTACCAAGTATTATTTGCGACGAGATGCCGCAAAGTTGTTACGTCGATATTCGCGCACTGAAAAGAGAAATCCTGCGAAAATGATCGTTCTCAGCCCCAAATATATCTTCGTCTGATTTTAACCCAAAAAATAACGGTATCAACACGCATGTAAGGTTATTATTGCTGATACTTGTATTGTAATGTTGATACTCGATTGTAATAAAGTTTACCAAAAAAGTGATTCTCTCGACTGTAATTATTTCACTTACTCGATTACGATTAATTCAACATTAATGGCAAATTCGGCAAATTGTTCCATTCGCGACGAATCGTCGTCGAATCGCGAGGGAGAAGTGAAGGAAGAGAAAACCCAATGTTGTTTAACAAATACTACACTCAATAGCTTTATTCGACATTTCGTAACGCATGAGTAGCTCGCCGAGCACTGATATGCGCGCTCATCGTTACATCGCGATAAATTGCACTTGCTCGTGAAAATTCTGATTTATTTCCCGATACACGTTCGCCTATCGACGACTGGTGGACAGCTTAAACTTGTGTGAAGGATCGGTGTGCTTGACTGTGCATCGATGTACCTTTCCGTACCTCCGTGTTTCAATACCGACTTAAGCGTTCCAATATTTACTTGCCAGTCTTGAAAGTCTATACGTAACATTAACTATGGATTTCCAGCACTGACAATGAATTTCGAAACGCAGCCATTATCGGTCGGAATAACAGTTCGCGTCGCATCGATAACTGAGGAATCGAAGCAAGAAGTGAACGCGTCCCCTTGTACTTCGGTGAATTTCGTGTATGTAGCGGAATAATCGATCTACCGTCTCCTCAATCGCGAAAATTTCTCGGGTCTATTCCCTAGATCCTCGTCGGTAACTAATCTACAAATATTTTCCGCATTTCAGAGTAACGGCAGATCGAACGATTGCGCACTAAGGAGATCACTTGGCGCTCTGTCGCGTAGTCGACGTCATGTATGCTGCACCACATTCTCTAGACGGTAATTTCTTACCATTACACAATTTTTAGCCTCCCACACCGTACACACGAGCTTCAAGCCATTACAATTATAGCCATTTATAACTCTACCGTTATAACTAAAATTATTTCGGCAATTTTCAACTTTATGTACGTTATGTGTAAAATTGAAAATCGTGTAACTCTCCATCTAAGCAATGCTGCAGCATACATAAAGCCGACCGTACGAGGATCAGTCATGTGAATGTATGCCGAACTTGGTCGCTAAATTCGCGAAGTATCCCGAAGGCACGCTTTCGTCTTCTGATTGCCGACAAGCCATGAGATTATTTCAAAAGCTTCAAACTAGTTTTTATATAAGTGCAAAATAAAAAAAAATCTGAAATACTAGTTCGCGCTGTTGCAACTTTCCATGAGGTAGTATCGCGCAATCAAGTGAAAGTGGAAGATTCCTTATCAAATGTAGCAAAAGATCTTAAACCGTACGATCGCACGGTCGTCGAAGTTGTCCGCCATCCGACGACCCAGAGTGAAGATTCTCGGGAAGCGTCACGATCGCGCGTCTCGACTTCGGAGACTCATCTGATCGATGTTCCATGGCAGGATCTCGCCTCTCTTTATAATCTTCCTTGGAAGTCCTTGGAATCTCGACCGTGGGTCGGTCAGTCGTGAACCGAACGCGTGTGCGCGTGAAAAAAAGGAAAGCAGAATTCGAGATGCAGTCGTGAGTAGCGATGAAAATTTTTGTTCATTCTATCGCTTCGTCTACGTGATGGATCTCGATTCTAATTTACGTTGATCATATCGCTCTCAGTCTGTCCAACCATGTCCAGATCGCCGGAGCTACAGAGCTACGCGTTCGGGAAGAGTTGCGCGAACGAGAACTGCGTAACGATATTGTCGGCCGTGACCCGAAACGCGTCGGATAGCGCCTTCTCCAGCAGCGGTATCAGTTCCTTCAGGAACACCTCAAAGTTGTTGTTAATGGCCGAATTGACGACGTCACCGAGCGCCTTTTCGCCATTGAACAGGTTATCGAACTTTATTGTACCTCGGCCCACGGTGATCTTCATCTTGAAATCGCTGATGCGTATCTTCTCTACTCCGTCCGAGTCTATGTACTTCTCAGCTTGGATTCTGCAGGAACCTGGAACGTGTGAGCAAGCAAAATGAGACGCGTGTACGATAATGAAACACCGTGGCGTTGGGAAACGATCGTTTTCAATCTTTGGTTTTGACCATAGACATCTGCATAACAACTATGTAATAACTACTTACTACAGAAAGTACATAACTAGTTATTACCTAAACTGCTAACTCTTTCGTTTATGAACAGAAAAATGAACAGCAGGAATTGTGTATCCCGACTCACTATCCTTACAGAAATTTACTATTGCAAAGCTAACGATTAATTACTTATTTTGAATATTTAAAAGGTGTTGCTAACTCTTTTCTTCTGTGAGGAGATATCATTTCTTGTTATCAAATTCTCATTTGATCTTTATTCAGTTGCAGGAAATGATTCTTCTTTCCATGAGAGACGCGATAAATTGAAAATCTGTTGTGCTGGGATATGCGGTATCAGAGTGGCGAAATGATTTGTTTCCCTTTATTTTCGTAAGAAATTGGTCGCACAATATACCTGTGCAATTCTTAAAGTTGCCGTGGAACGGGCCGGAACCGCGGATCGGAAGGACCAATATTTTGCCATCTACGTCGTAATCACCTTCAACGCGGATATTCGGTAGTGAAACGTCCACGTGGAAGTACAAATTCTTAACGTCGGTCCTGGAAAAAGAGACATTGAATGAGAAAAGTCCAAAGAAACGGTAGGGAAGTCATTATCGACATCCTCGAAAGTCGCGTACAGGCAATTTTCACGTCGCATTACACAATATAATTGTGAGCGACACGAGAGAAAGAAACGCCGATATTACGTGCGTATTATGCATTCCATATTGACGGATATTACGATACGACAAATTACGGACTGAATATCCAGCTAGATCTGGTTAATAAACTTCGCCTTCGCGCGGTTCTCACATGTGGGAAGTCATTGAAAGCAGTCGACAACTTCACTGGTAGGAGACACCGACCTCTTTTTACCGTCCTCGTTGTTACAATGCCACTCGAGGCTCTATCTAGTTCTCTTCGTGAGGAGAGACGTCTCCCGAGCTTCGCATGTCACGAGGTAACAAGAGATATCTACCGGTGTAACGTCACTTCCGTCCGATTTTCATTGATTATTGATCATTCTTGTAACCAGCAGCGTGCTGCGCGATTGTTCGCGACTTTTACGAACGCACATCGAATTTTGTGTCACGGCCAACCATGTATGGAATGACAAACGATAGTGCTAATTTTTCTCGTTGTTAATTTACAGCCAGATTCACAACCTCTAATTAACTTAATCGACCGATGATTAGTTATTTCCAGTCAGTTTTTCTTAACAACAATCCTCCCTTGTCCTTTTTTGTGTTTACTTTACTCACTATTTACTGCCCCTGTCTTTCATAAAAATGAATTATAACCAGAATTAAATTTATTAAAATAAATTCTCTTCTCCCCTTTCTTTGAATTCTCATAATTCTTCAAAACCCTTTCTTTAAGAATTAAATAAATTAGAAATTAAATAAATCAAGAGACACGGTAATGTCTCGGCCAATCAATTCTAACTCTAATTCTCTTAGAGCTCTCTTTCTCTCTTTCCCTCTTTCCCGAATAAATAGTTTTACACACGATATACAAATTTGACTTATTCTCGATAAAATTAGTGACAAGTCAGATCTCCTCGGACAGAGACGGATGCACTCTTAATAGAGTGACGCAGAACAATTGAAGAGATCTAGTAAGTTTTTCACTTTTAAATGCCTCTCGACGATATACAAGTGCTGCGCGGGATATGAAAATGAGACAAGTCAACGACAGCAAAAACAGCAATCATCTCTTTCGTAATTTTTGTGTGCAATCTAGTTGAATTGATGGCGATCAATTTAACATTACGAGCGGCTTATCGTCTGATTTCGCGCAAAATTCCGTCGTTAGCTAATAATGCAGCGATCATTTATCGCACAGTCGACGAGATTCTCGCCTGAACAATTACGTCGCTTGAATGTAAAAATTGCACATGCAGAGAAAAGTGCTGTTATGTATCAGCAGAATTAATAAGTGACATTTTGCGCACGTTTGGTAATTGGACACCGACAGAAAATTTTCGAGTAAATATTTTGCTAAAGAGCATTGGAGTAATTATTTTACTTGGATTAAGTAAATGTTACTTGAATGTAGTAATGTTTTCCTTCAGTGTGCTACATTCAAGTAATAATACTTAATTCAAACAAAATAATTACTCTAATACTCCTTAGCGAATGTGTACTCGAATGTAGCACTTTTTCTTTCAGTGAAAGTAATCTTCCTGATTCGATCGTAATATTATTAAAACTAATACTCAAATTAATAAAATAATATATGGTATATTAATTTCAATAATATTCTTTGCTATCGAGTCAATAACACTGAAAGGATAAAGTGCTACATTTAAGTAAGATTTACTTGATCCAAGTAAAATGGTGATTCCAATATTCTTTGACAAATATTCATTAGAAGTAGAAATTTAATGAACTATATATAATGTGTATTATCTCCTTCCTAAATAGACATTTACTTGTACATATTCAAATAATTCCGACAAATATTAAATTCATAATATTAAGAATATTATTTTAATTTTAGGAGATAATTACTGAATAGAAAAATATCGGAATTTAAAACCCCAAGTTATTTCAATGGAAAAGAAATATTGCATAATTCTATTAAATATTCTCTTAAATTTAGAGCAATTTATTTATATTCAGTTATATTCAGTAATTCAATTATAAATGAAGCTATCACTACAAAGTATTTATTACAAGCCGTCTCAAAATATACTTCAATTAAAAAAAATATTGATTTATGAAGCTGAAAAACAGGTAACTACGTTTACTTAATTCTAGCACATTTTACTGTGAAGATTGACTACAATTATGAGGCACTGTTCAATTCTACTGATGCAATTGCATATTTTTCTGTGCACGAAATAACGTCCTGCGTCTAATGCAATTTCCACACCTGTCCCAAGCTAATCTCGCTATTTCGCAATTATCCGCTCGCGATGGAAAGTTGTCATTTTACGTTCTCACATCACGTTAATTATTCGAGTTTATACTTCGATATATTCAGTGATTTTTCACAAATCACTCTACCTCTGATACTTACTTTAATTTGCTAATTCTGAAGTTACTGGCTTCGTACACATCAATATCTTTTGCTTGTATGCGTAAGGTGGCCGTTGGGGTGAATGTCAATCGCTTCAGTTTGAGTGGTTCTAATAAGGGGATGTTGTACTCCGGCACCCCCATCTTCAGGTACGGCTGCAGTTTCATAATGCTTTCGACTACGCATTGCTCGAATTTCCGTAGTTCGGCACCCGCGTCGCATACGTGCAGGAACTCGGCTGCAATTTCCGTTCAAAATTATACACGTTAGATAATCGGTAAAATTGCGAAAGAATGAAAAGGCAATTGAGTAGTAATCGGTATCAAGGAAGTCTAATTTACATCGCGACACGGTCTAATTTTCACGTGATATGTATCTTGCGAGCGCATTTATACATTCTGCGATCTCCAATTGCGAGCGCTTTTAATATTCAACAAGTCAGTGTATGTTGCAAGCTTACATACATTAATATAAACGAGAAACATTGTGGTAATGTTTTTCTTTCAGCAAAAAAATAATACATTGAATAAACTGTGTCAATGATTAAGAGATAAAAAATGACAAGCTTATGACAAGCAATATTATACCATATGCACACAAGTCCTTATATGCGTAATTAAGATTATACGTTGTAAAAAAAATTTGTGTTAAAAACGGTTCACTGGAATAAAACTCAACGCGAGTGTAGCGGAGCGCGAAGAAATCGTAAAAATCCGCGGCATCGAAAATATTGAGTTGGAAGGAAACTAATGTCGTATTTTTCCAACAGATGACTTTAATATGTCTTACTAAAAAAGAAAAATCAATCTAGAAGGCGTAAGTGCGTGCTATTCTGATAGCTGATACCTTTAAGTGTCATTTAATGTATGAAGAATGTATGTAGAAACGTTTGTGTTCACTTGAGAGCGAGAGAAAAATGGGGCAAAACAAGCTATATTATCATTGTTCGATGCTGTTTTATTTCCGTAAATGGAAAAACACGACGCTAGTAAAATAGAAAATATGTGCTGTGCATGAAAAGGATGCCGTAACGTATGCGCCAGAGATAATTTACGAAGTTTCGTGCTGGTGATACGACACTCGAAGATAAGGAGAACTCTAGTCGACCGGCTATTGTTGATAACGGCTATCAATCAAATCAAGATTTTAATTGAGAATAATTAACGATATACAACGCGGAAGACTGCAGAGACAGCCTATTTATTCCACACAGTCATCATCGAACATTCCCATAAGCTGGGTGAATCGTCTTGATATCTGGATGCGCTATGTCTGATAAAAAATGTAATCGATTGCATTTCCATCTGCGATTCGTTGTTTAAACGCAACGAAAACGACCGAATTTTAAAACGAATCGCGACGAGCGATGAGAGATGGATTATCTACAATGACGCAATGCGCAAACGATATTTTCGTGTATGCGTATTTAACTGAATGAAATAACGCAAATGAAAAATATAAAAATGCGTGCATAAAAATGCATACAAAGTGACTGCATGATTTGGCAACACGTAAATGCGTGATATACTTGGATTCGCAGTGTACCGACGACATCAGACCCCGAAGGGTGTCGCGCAGAGCCCGAGATTTTACTCACGTATTTCTCGCTGAGCTAGCGCGCCGATCGTCGCCATGGCCAACAGGATCGCAATGAACGTTGCCTTCGCCGGTGCCATCTTTTCCAATGGGATAGAAACGACAAACAGGAAGCTCAACGTGCGGTTGCCTTCCGGAGTTACCTGAGGCGCAAGACTCGACGACGGGGGTTGCTGGCTCTACGAGCAGCCGTAGGTGGTTCGCGAGTGGTCGAACTGGGAGTAGGTGTCCCAGACTGCGATCCGAACATTTTATAACGGGGACCGCATTCCCCTCACTCTTTCCTCCACCCGCGCCTCTCACTCCTCTTGACAGCGGCTGTACGACGGTCTGAGATGATGACTATTAATACGTTCCCCCAAGATGATGCTTGCCGCGGTCGGGATGCGAGAAGCACACACGTATCCGTAAAGATACGCGGCTGACTGCGCAGCAAAAAGGTCTTGTCTTAGAGTTTACAACGACTCATTGAACATGGTCGAAGTGAGCCATGAATGACGGCCACCGATCGGTTGCGGTTGCAGCTTCGACTTTGTTTATTGCGGTACAATGGATACTGTAAATCAACGTTTCATCCGTCATTAGAAGTGTTCGGTAAGCTTTCGAATTTAATTGACTTACGAGTTTAGATCCTGATTAAATGTCTTTTTTACTCAACCATTCTACTTACACACGAATTATTGTAATACAATGTCGGACACCCTATATGTTATTATTATTATAAGTTATTATAAGTTATTATAAATTATTATTATAAGTTATTATAAGTAACATGTTATTGATATTCGCGCGCATAATATTTTTGTATCTTTTAAATACTCCTTTCTCTCAATATACGCACGAATTAAATTCAAAAGCTCGCTGAACTGATTATTGATAAGCGAAAGGGACGAAACGACGAAAGGAAAAACAAATACTCGTTCAAGAATAATTCAGAGTCGCACACATGAATGAATATCATTACGGTTGTGATCAACTGTTAACGTTGCTCGCAGATATTCGTTCGTGCTCGTTCGCACAGTCTGAATTTAATTTCTGTTAGTCTGAAGTCTCAATTTCGATTTCCGAAGTCTAATTTTTAATTAGAGCGATCGAACGTTCACTCAGCGAACTATCCTGATGACTCCTGATCCTCTTGAGCTCGCGGAGCTTTAAAATTTTGTTTTGTATGGCGCAAACAAGAGTCCACATGTCATACGACATAATCATTATCGCAGTTGCACGCATGACATATCCGGGCAAAATGTCGATTCTGAAAAGAAATTACAAGGGAAAAAAAGGAAAGGAAAAAAGAAGAGATTATACCGATTATGTATGTCCAATCACGAGCGATTAGAATAACAATGAGCTTCTAATAGTTATGCGGATTCACTGTTACGCAAACTCGTCTTACCGCAAAATTCACACGATTGTTCTCGCCGAAGGTCGACAAAATCGTCAGATATTATCTGTGTTGTTTCAACGATGTTTTTATATTATTATGCACAATATTGTGCGTGCTAAACAATCCAATGAATCTTCTCGTTGTTGTCTAGAACCTGTCCTTTCCATTGAAAATCGTCGTGTTTGTCGTAATATTTACATATTATTTAAAAGGCGAATAGGCGATCAGTAAATAACAATCGCCTTTTCGAAAAGAATGCCGCGACGACATTGAAACGGCGCTTTTCGTTTCGGAATTCTGCTGAGAAATCGCGCTCTGTAAAATTGCATCCGAACGACTCAAATTAACGTATCCCTTTCTCGTTCAGCAAGAAATATCGCATGAAGGGGTTAGAATACATCGGAACATGCTGGAAATGAAATTTACGGCGCGAATTTCTGCTCCGATGTTATCGCGATATGACGCACGTTTTCGTGACGTACGCAAAATTCCAACGGTGTCGAATTCATTATAAATTTAGATATGTAGTGAGCAGAGTAAAAGTGTTTATAATTATTTACGAAAAAAATGTTTGTAATTATTTGCAAAAAGTCAAATCACATTATAAACGTGTAATTTCACACGCTTGTTTCACGCATAAATATGCAAAATCACATATTTATATATGTGACTTGATTTCTCGAATTAACTTACTAACGACAAAGTGAATTCTTAGAACGCATCTAGTAAAGTCGGGCCAAATCAGACTTTATGCTCTGTTTTGCTCATTTTTTATGAAATTAATGGATATAAAAAGTAAAGAAGAAATAATAATATACAAATTTTTCTGTGTTTATTTAAAAGGTGACAAAAATTACAATAAAATTTACTTACTGACTTCAAATAACTACAGTAAAACGAAATACATTTTGACTGATTGCCTCAGTTTCTAAGCACTAGAAGAATAAATTACCTCAATTTGGAGATATTTAATATATATATAATATATTTTTATAAAAAGAATTCCTTTTGCAGCTGAAAATGAAATCAGAATTGGTGACATACGAATGAATTCTTTTTGAACTCTCTGTGCTATCCGGGCGGCTTTGTAGTATTCTCTTTTTGGGAAAGGTCGCGCATCTTCAAAGAGAAGAATATCGGCTCAGCGTCTATCGATTCAACGGGTACGCCAACTGGAAGGTGCATTGGTTCCGTGGACTTTGCAGCTCGATTCTGCAACTCGTTCGAAAAACATTGCGCACAGAAGAAACGCCAAATGAGTTTCATCGGGACGCTCAGTCGGACACGACGAAGAAACGAGCGTAAAGCGCACACAATTATGTTGAAATGGTTGTGACTATACCTTCTATCGCAGCACAAAAAGTAGCTTTCAAGCAATCAATCAGATAACAAAAAAAGACGGATATTCCCGAGATGCCGGTTAGCATACATCACGCAACGCGCGAAACATTTTGCAAAAGACGCCGGTACTTCGCAATAAATACCTATATATCTTCGTGAATGTCAATAGCAATAGGCAGAAACGCACGCAGTCTTGAGGAGACGAATGAGTTTCGCGACATAAAATGGATGGAAATAACTCGTGAAAGAGGCGCGCAAATTCTTCCGAAAACGAGGAGACGCGAAGACACGTGCGGAAGAAAATCTCAGTTCGTGTAACCGGATGGGGACCGGGCGGAAAATCGATGCCGGAAAACGATATCTCTGACCGCGATCAGAGACATTCGCTTAAGCGCTCGATTATATTGAAACTTGGTTCCATTTCAACAAAAAAGGTTTGTAGGAAGTTTAATCGTTGCTGCTTTCTTGCAATGCTACTAATTTCAAGTATGAGGATGCTCGGATAGATTGTCTTTCTGTTACATCTTATTATTGTCAGGGGAGGAAAAATAATAAACGCAAGCAAAACTTTCGTTCAGAGCTCGCGATAACGAGATCTTGTCTAATTTTCCGCAAAGAAGCACGAGTGCGGCCTCCTTTAATAATATTTTCGTCGGACCGACGGACTTGCGGGATCCTGATTTGCGCATATCACATAATAGTGGGAGTCGCAGAGATATAACTTAGATAATAGACGACGCACAAAACGATGCCTTCGAGGCAGGAGGGCGACTTCCGGGCCCGGGAGAATGATTGTTTACGAGCAACTGGGCCGGCTGGGATTAACGAAAATGCCATGGTCAATGGTCAATCATGAGATTAGAGGAGTGCTGCGTGATTGCCGCTTTGCGACTCATCAATTAAATAAATGTCAAGGACTTTTCTTATCGGGTATGAAGAAAAAGGTTGGTTGAATTAATATATTAACGCTGAGAAAAAAGATCAGTAATTTAATCAGAAACAACCGTTCAAATAATAATGTATTTCAATCAAACCGATTAAACGCAATTTCCAATGAAATGCGAACAGAAAATCAACTAGTACGTGTGTAATCGCTAAAAAATCATCAAATAAATACACAATTTAGTCAGATATTACACTTTATCGGATAAAGAAAAAACGGATAAAGAAAAGGGAAAGGAAAAATTGGATAAAGAAAAAACGTTTCTTTAACTCATCATAGTATCCGACAAAAAATTATCCGATAAAAAACAATACCTTTTATCGGAGTCGGTATCTGATCGAATGATCTGGTGAATAATTACCCGATGAAATCAGCGAGCCAAATATACTCTTAAGCATATATCGCCTAATATATCCAAATTCGAGATACTAATTTCTAAATGAAAACGACATTTCGAATTATTCAAATGCAATAACGCGATATCGATTACATTTTCTTAAAGTCTATTTCTCGAAGACATGAAAAGCGATGCTTTAATTTTTACTCATAGTGTATATTTAAGTACGTATATTTTACGTATATTTTATCTGTATAATATGCGATAGAAAAGTATCTAGAAATAGCAATTAAAATAAATAGATTGACAATCTATTAAATAAAGAAGTAAACTATAAATCCTATATTAGACTATTTTTAATATTCGCTTATCACACATATTATACGTGCATTATAATTTTACTGCATTATAATTTTAATGCATTATAATTTTACTTGACAAATATTAAATTTATGAATGTTCTCTCCTTGATGTACCACTGAAAATACAACAATGAATCTTATAACCTCTTTAAGTCAATCACAATCGTTTTCTTCACTGAAAATTAAGAATCCGAAATAAAATCGGAACGTTGTGTGATTGTTCTCGGGTGAAATTTCAACGACGATTCGATATTTCGAATTTGCATTTCGTTCACGTGGACGCGCGCCTCTGTTTCATTTTCGCACGGGAGAGCGAAAAACGCAAATTCGTGTGAGCACCAATCGTACTTTATCCATTTGAATACCACCTCGATTACCATCTCTACGCTTAACGGGATCCTACGTTATACTGTGTAATAATTCATAGGTTTACACAGCTAAGAATGTGTTCGCCGATAAGTAAATAAATCAAACGTATCAAAAGGAACAAAAAAGAATTACATATCTGTATTATTATTCAGGGAAACTTACAAGGGTCGTACCGAACCGGTCGTAAAAGTTATAATTTAAGATTATGCTCTCGCGTAAGCGGACTTTTTTATTGCACTGTCCCGAATGGATGATCTCACATAACTGGTTGGCATATCGCACGATAATATATTTAAATCTCCCGGAACACATGCTATCAGTCATCGAACGACCTCGAAGTTCATTTCAAATTCGCAAATTACCGTCGCCCATCGAGCGTTGTCGAGCTCGATAGTCCTTTTTACGTGTATTTTCTTGCAGAATAACACAATCGCTTTTCATCCGTGAAATGTGTCCCCGGGACACAAGTGGATC